AACTAGCCATAGTCTCTCTCTCTCTCTCTCTCTCTCTCTCTCTCTCATTTATTACCCATTGTTACCGTTTTTTTTTCTTTTCAAATTTCAACTTTTTTACCTATAAATAAAACATTTCACATTCAAACTTGTCACACCTCAATACACTTCTTCTACCTCTTTAGTATATCGTTTTTCTTCTACCTCTTTATATTAAATGGTCCCTCATAACTATTTTTTGCATTTGAAGGGCACGAACTTGTGTTTTATCGTTTTAAAAGGTCATTATCAAAAATATGAGGGTCACCCGGTGAACCCCTTCCTAATCATCAATTTTTATATGCCACGTGGCATTTGGTCAACTAAAATGGTCCAAACAACCCCTGATGTTATTGCAGTTCATCTCGTGAGATTGAGTTTGAAGACATTCGTTCCTGCAATTGAAATCTATCAAATCAAAATCAAAACAAACAATCAAAACATATTACATATTAATGAAGAAAACAGACAGAAGTGGGAGTCATATAGGTTACCTCTAAGTCGAAAATTTTAGGAAGAATCATTTGGGAACAGAGAGAGTTTGGAGCTAAGAATCTCAACAACTACAGCACTTAGTTTCTTGTTTACATCAGGATTTAAATCTCTGATGGACACCAGCTCACCATATGACGCTGACTACTCGCTACCTCTAAAAGCCATCAGCACAAATCCCTTGTGTAACTCTGACTCTATAATCACTCATGAACACTAAAACATTAACCATTTGTAAAAGCAAGTCATGGATTGATTAGAAAGGGGGGTTTCTTTTCCTTGGATAATTTTTGAAGCTATCAAGTCATCAGGCCATCGATTGCATTATTATCGAATAGAAAAAGATGATTCATGGGAACGATTCAACATCAGAAACCCCAAACGAATCGCAAAGTTCATCACCTATACTTGATGACAAAAATCGAGAATATCCAAAATAAACAAAAAATCGAGAGGATCGGCGACGAGTCAATCAAAAGAATTCCGATGTCGTGAAAATCAATAAAATTGAGAAGAACGATGACAACCCAATCAATTTCGATTAAGAAGAATTTTGATTGATTCAGAGATAGATCGTTCCATTTAACTACCTTTGCCATCAAAATCCGCTGATGTTGAAACTCCTGTGTCTTCATCGCCGATCACCACCAATTCACAAACGTTGACTGAGAGAAAAGTAACCTCGATCGATAAGAAACCATCGCTTCCGTCAAATCCATAACCGCCGACGAAACCAATTCCGACGGAAGAAAGCAAACAGGTTGCTTCAAACAATCCACATTGTTTATGCTTGCGATCTTTCTGGTAGTGGTCGTGGTTCTATGGAAGATTTATGCGGCCATTGTCGGTGGGTCTTCGGATATTGCTATCGTCGGAGACTAGACGATGGTTTTCGGAGAGTGTGTCAGGATAGTAAGCGGTTATTGTCACAGTACTAGTCACCGGAATGTAGCAGGAGGGGGAATACGATGAAGAAGCACAACGAAGTGACGACTATGAAGATAAATATCACTTTATCGGTGGCCATTCTTCATTTAGGGAGTGAGAAGTCAACAAAAGTATAACAAAGGAAAATGTGGGGCCATAAGGTTTTAAAAAGGAAAATAAAAAGCCAAATAAGCTTATTATAACCGGTAAAACCTGCTTAAAATGTGGTCTATCCCTTTATTAGCAGGTAAAACACATGTTCGTGCCCTTCAAATACAAAAAATAGTTACGAGGGACCATTTAAACTAATATACTAAAGGTTGTTGGGCTATAGTGACAATAACCCTTATATTTTATCTCTCAAGAATTCAAAAAAGGTTTTCTTCCAACAACCCAAACAACCAAAAAACACCCGCACGAAACACCCCAACTCCTTTTTTTGATCAACCAATTTATTCGCCCCACATTTACCACTATGTCGATATGCTACCGTATTATCTGCAACCATATCAACAACAATACCCACAACCACAACCTCAAGTCCAATCCGACACCAAATTTAATCCCTTCGATTTTGTGTCTCAAACTCCATCCGAATTCGTTCGAGAAACTCAATTCCAATCCGATTCTGAACCCCGAATTCGTTCGAGAAACGCAACCCACCCAAGCACCTAATAAAAGAAAAGATAAGGCAGTGTGCAAACCATAGGAACCCATAGAAGTGATGGCATTGGCACATGCACGTGTTGATGTTTCCGAGGATCCGAAAGTTGGTAAAGACCAAAAACATGACCATTTTTTTGAGGCAAGTTACAAAAAGGTTCCACAAATGAATGAAGTTAGGAGAGTATCGTACAATAGACCAAGTGTATTCCAAATGGGGGAATACAAATAAGGAAGTCATGTTGTTTAACGATTTGTATAACAACATGCAACGTCAATGACAAAGTGGAGAAAGTGATGATACGCTTCTGAAGAAAGCTCTGAAAGTCTACCAAAATAACAAGAAGGCTTTCAAATTTGTTGAGTTTGGAAAATTTGTGAAAGATAACAAAAAATGGAAAATGACCAAGACATCCGACGAACATATCGATAGTGGTTCAAAACACTCAAGAACATCTGAATCTAAGTACACTACATCAAATGCTCGTGTTGGAATCGACCACCACGATGATGAAAACGTTCAAGTTACACACCTTCCCGGCCAATAGGAGTGGACAAAGCAAAACAAAAAGACAAATACAAATTGGTAGATTCAGATGACTTAAAAGTGATTGGGGACGAAATGAAGGGTCTAAATACAAGACTTGACAAACTTTTGCACATTGCTCTGTAAAGAGAACATATGAAACAAAGGGTTTTTGGCAAGAAATTACCAATGCAAGACACAAGTAAATGTTACCCGGGAGCATGTTATTGCGACCTCTTATAACTATTAGTTTTTTTTAAGTGCTTGTTGTGAGGTTTTTTTTAAATTTTTTTTAGGTTTTTAAATTTCAGGTGTTATTTTTGATTTCTAAGTTTTTAGGGGATTTTTTAATGTTATGTTTTCTTTTATTTTAAGTCATGAAATTTAAGTTTTTTTTATTAAATTAAATTGTTTAAAATTTTTTAAATAATAAATATGCATGCTATGGTACCGGTACCACTTCTTGTCTCCTTGTGTGTGGTAAGAAACCTTAATTTTATGGTAAAAATTAGATGGCATGACGCTCACATGGCAGAGGAAAAAATATGATAAAAATAAAATCACACCCTCCAACCTAAATGCCATGGCCCTTTTCAATGCCTCCATTGGTCGTATAGCAACAGGGTCGACCTTACCATTAAGTGAACTAAGCCCTTGCTTAGGGCCCCCAATTCTAAGGGCCCCCGATTAACCTAATTCAGCAAATCCTGATTCGTTAGTTCTTCCTTCATCGTCAGCGCACGCCACAAAGATTGAGCAACTGTTCTTCGTCTCATGATTCTCGATTCACTACAGAAACTAATCTCGATTGAATCTTGATCGATTCTTGATTAGTCGATTCTTGAAGCTGTTCTTCTTCCTCTGATTTTCCATTGTTGATTGATTGTTCAAAAATCAAAAGTAGGTTGTCAAGAAGACAAGAACTGAAAGTCTGAAACAATATGTTCTTCTTCTTATTCTCCATTGTTGATGCTTCTTTCTCGATTAGTCTATTAAGCTTATGTTGGATATTTGAAGTAGAGAAATTCTAATTTTAGGTGCAAAATTTCTGGAGAAACGTTCTGCCATTAATGAGTGTCTTCTCTCCTGAAGAATTGTATGACATCGATTTTGTGTAAAACGTAGGGCTGTGAATCCTATTTCTGGTCCAACTGCTTCTCTTGGAGGTGAGTTTGATTTTTACTCATTTTGTTCTTCTTCCTTCTTCCTTCTCATTCAAGCAGATAAATGTTGAAACGAAGTGTTTTCGGAGGGTTAAACTAGCTTTGCCTTTGATTAAGAATTAAATTTGTTAAAATAAGGTTCAGATTAAAGCCTCGTTCATTACTTACTAGGTGATGTGTTAGCCAAACCACTAAATGACACTAATAAGTTTCAAGTTCAGCATGAGAACTTTAATTTTTGAGTAAATAGCACAAACTTCATTATTAACAGCTATGTAGCAGAAAATCAAATTCGGTTGATCGACCTCCATGTTATATTGTTATTTTTTTTATTGATCCAATCACACCTTATATGAATATCTGAGGTTTCATTTCAGTTGGAGCTCACAACACCAGCACGACCAGTCAAGGATATGGTAATTGAATCACAAACATCATTCTTTTGTGAAAACATAATGTATTTTAAAATGTGAAATATTATGTTTCTATTGACATGTAATGAAGTGAAATTGAAAACATTCTTAAGAACAAAGTTTGAATATTTTATTACCTAGGTACATTAATTGTATCTAATATTTTTGATTTAAGGTTAACTAACTCGAAATACATATTTAAAAAAATGAACATAAGGTGAGTACAAATGAAGAGTCAAGAAGATTACAAAGTTACTAGTACAACTTTTAATACAGTATAAGGTGAGTACAAAGAGCCCCAAAATTTAGGTTCGCTTAGAGCCCCCAAACCGGTTGAGCCGCCCTTGTATAGCAATAAATTAGTCATATACAAACATATATTTTACATTATCTTACGTGGATAAGATCCTTAAACCTTTTAACACATGTAAATATGATAAAATCTATAAGGTTGCACGGTGTCATGAAGTTTTTGCCGGTGCATGCTGATGTGGATTAGTTTGCCGGTGGCAAACACGACCCCTTTGACTAGTTTTTTTGTCATTGATAAATCTCAATGGTGAGCTTTGGCAAATTGTGAATTTTTGGAGGTTTGTTTTCCATTCTAACTATTGATTTGGTCATTGCAAATTCAAGTTTTTTTTTTTATTAAAATTATTATCACACCAAATTGTAAACAAATCGTGATAAAAAATAATAAATTTTATATCATTGACAAAACAATCACCGGCGGAAGTGATTTTGGAGAATAAAAAAGAAAAAGATAAAAAAGCGATTTGTTTTGGATATGTCATATGTGGCGAAATGTGGCGATACCTTGGAACTTGGAAGGTGGAAGATTTCATATTCTTTAACCAGCTCAACACTACACTCTGGAATACTTTAGATGCTTCTCCCATTTACGGAAGCAACACACACAACACGTTGTTTCACCTGTTCCTTTCTTCTCGATTGTTCCACATCTTCCTCCTTCCCTAATCCCTACCCCTATTTCGTATTTATACCCATCGTCTCTTCTCCCTCAACTAAATCATCATCATTAACAAATAACAATCATCATGCTTATGTCAATTTTCAGTTCAATCGACGCCTTCTGCGCTGAATCCATGGAACAAAAGCTTCCGGTCACCAACACTCAAAAAGATTCCAAGGATGGCCATCATAATCATAATCCGTCGACGCCATCGCCGGACATCAAGAATTCACCAAAACTGCAGATCAGGCCCCGGTTCGCCCCGGAGTTGGATGGCGTCAACTGTTTCGAAACAATACTTCCGTATTAATTAATTAGTTGCATATGAATCTCGTATATATGTACTTGTATTCCATTCTAATATGTACATACGTATGCTGATGCTATTCTTTGCTTTAATTTTAACCTTGTTCGTGGTTTAATTTACCTCTGTTTTCCTTTGTTTATTTTTCAAGTGAATCTAGCAGCTGTTAAATCCAAATACGAACATGGTGGTATAAGTATGAAAGCACTCAATAGTCAATAGACCACCACCACATATATTTCATATGTTTTCATTCATGTACCCAAGCCACTCTACGAATCTGCTACTTTTAGCCGTTTAATATGCATGTATAACTGTATAAGTAAGAAAAACATAAAACCAGGCAAGAAGCGTTGGAACTATATGAATATCTTACTATATATAACCTATAACCTATGTCACCAAGTAATAAGATCTTCGAAGTACCCAATATATATGCGATGGGCAATTGTGTATTCTTTGATTAAGGGGACTGTGGATGCATGTGAAAAAAGAATTAGAACACCAAACTAAACTGGGACGGATTTGACTTTGTGTTTGTGTCATGTTAATGTCTTGTATGAAGAACACCATGTACTTGTAGGGTGTGCAAAAAAACCGCAAAACCGAAAAAAACCAAAACTGAAAAAAACCGATACCCAAAAACCGGATATCAACGGGTCAGTTTTGGTTTGAATACTTAGTTATCCCTGGATAACCGGAACCGAACGGGGCCTTAACACTTAAAGTACAATTGCATAATAGAAATAGATGAAAGTAACAAATAAATGGAAGCATGTTAAAATTTCCTGCATTTTACTCTTATAAAAGGAAACGAACAGAGATTAAATCCTTCCTGATTGGTTAATTAATCTTTCTTGAAAAACTCATGTTCTTGATCTTTCATTACACGTCTAGTTTGGATTCCGCCATTAGTGGACAATTATTCATTCATAAAATGCCACCAATAACCAGTAAGATTGAAAAGTATATCCAAGTATTACCAAGAAAAAGAATCTGAATAGAACTATAGTAGTCATCTTTTATGAAATGATTCATAATCCCTTTTTAGAAAACTTATTGATACAGAGTAAAAAACACCCTTCAAGAATCAAAAGAATAACTGTTGTACTTAAAAAAATGTATGTATTATACCACCTTACAAATAATAATTAACGAAACAAGAATCGACCCATTATACATCGATAGACAAATTCATTTTGTTTTCTTAGAGAAGAGTTCCATTACCATTTTGACAATAGAAAAAGCAATGAAAAAACTTTCTCCCCTTTTTCAACATAGCTTGCAAATTTACAAGTTTTTCAATCATTTCATTTTGGTGGCACATAGATATTCAACCAACGGTAATATAACCAAACATATACAAAGATAATAATATAAAATAAATAAATCCTACAAATAAGTTGATGAAAAGTTATATATACCATTGTGGATGCTCTAAATGACAAGGACTCTCAAGTGCCACCTGGCCTATCTTCCCCTAGTCGGAACACCAGTACTGATTGGGATCTTCTCCTCTTTAAATGGTTGAGTGGAGGCATCAGCAAGACTAGGTAATCTTGTAACACTTCCCTTCCCTCTTCTTGCATTCGGCCCTAATTCTTCAATCATGTACTTCCATCCATCAATCGGTCTCCTTCTACTGAATATGTGTTGTTTTATAAAGCTAGCGATCTGCATACTCCCCACAACAACACAATAAAAAAAAAAAAAAACTCGCCATTATTTAGCCAAATTAATAAATCAAACGAGGGGGAAACCTGGAATTTGCTGAAGGCAATTCGACGTTCATACTCTTGAAGAAGAATGTCTTCTTCTCTTTGGGTCATTTCCCAGATGTTCCCATCTTGTGCCTTTGATGTTGTTTCCCATCCATCTGGCTTGTTCTTCAAATCGGAAGAATCTGTAGGTTTTGAGTCGAAAATCCTGCAAAAAGATGATGTATGTTTTATATTCGATGGCTTCATACGGATTACGAGTCTTAATTTTGACATGGATTGTTGACAAATTCTGATTCTAAAACAAGCAATAATCACGAGAAACAAAACCCTAGCACCTGTAACTAAATTCAATCTAGAGAAAGAGAGAGGGAGAGAGTACTCAGAAGCGCTGTCAAGGAATCTATCGAGATCATCACCAGCGCCACCACCGGAATCACCCAATTTGGCCTCTTCCATTTTCTCAATCTCTTTAACCCATAAACCAGCATGAACCCTTTGTTTCATAACCCTATAATCCATTTTCACATTCTCCAAACTATACAATGATTTTCCTTCTTCTTTCATCTTCAGCAGCCTTTCTTCTTCTTCCTGTCGCTTGCTTTTACTCCCGGCCTTTTTCCTCCTCTGCTCCCAATTATCACTCATGTCTTCAACGAACGCCTTCGTATCTGGATCGAGAGCCTCTGGTGTATCGGCAATAGAGAAATTGACGTCTGCTTCCCATGCTCGGTTTTTCGCGGATAAATCTTCAGGGAGCCACGCTGTTTCCCAAGCATCGTTCCATTCGTCTCGACCATCTGATGCCTTGGTTGATAGCCGTCTGAAATAGGTTGTGGCGGTGGTGGAGCATCGCCGGTTGATTAGAAACGAAAAGCTGCCAAATTTCTTCATTTTGTTTGTGGAAGTGGAAAGGTTACGCCGTTAGAAAAGAAAGAACTAATTTTTAATGGAGTATTCTGGGCTTATTTTATTGGGCCCTAATTGGCTTTATCTTATTACTCTTAATTTGGGCTCATTAGAAGTTCCGTCGACATCACATGCGATGATTTACTTTATTAAATTATTAGGTTATAACCACGGTGACAACTAAAACAATTTTGAAATTAATAATATATTTTCAAAGTTTGAGGGCACTTCATACACATTAGACTAATTGTTAAACACTTACATAAATTAAAATTTATTTTTCTTTTATCAAACATAAATTATTCTTTATTATTAGGTATAACTAAAGCCCATATTTTTTAAACTTATAAGGCACCGTGCATAAAAAATAAAAATAAACCATGTTTGACTCTAAAATACTTACTTTTGAAATCTCATCCAAAATTCGGAAAGTCATTGATTTTATATTTGCATGAGATTTCATTCTTGGTTTATTACTGATTTTTGGAGATTTGTATTATCAAGAAAATATGCAACCAACTTATTTATAGGCTACAATTCGGAAAGTCCTTGATTTTAGGCAAATATAGTTACCAAAATAAAATTTGAAACAGATTTTTTGGTTTAAGTAGAATAATAAGAAAATAGGAATACAGAAAAATGACACATGGCAATATGGCTTTTGAAAAATTAACATATGTCAAAAATTGATTTTGTTTATTAGAAGAGGTAGATGGCGTGTTCCTTATATTTTTACAAATTTAAAATACTACTTTTATATTTTTATAAAATTTACATCTATATCCAAACTCATATTTTAATTTTGAAATACCTATCTAAAATTCAAAATATCATATGATATTACTAAACTACCCATCCCCGTTAAAGATTAATTTAATCAATAAACATAAAAATTGTCGGTAAGTAATAGGTTTTTGATAGAGCCTTTCTCTTCTTTCTAGAATAAACCACGTTAGCAAACATGTGCAGTTGAATTGGACCTATTTCAAAGTTTTTATTTTTTTATTTTTTAAAATTTTAAGACCTTATATCGTCAACATGTTCTTTTACATCCATTTCCTTTGATTTTAATCAAAACCAACAAATTTCTTTGTTGAATTATATTTTCTAGGAGTCTAAATGACAATTCCCAAGTGACTCTCCGTCTCCATATAATGGATTAGTGGAATATTAAGACGTTAGTTTGGTCTGTGAATAACTTATCCGATTCTCCATTTTTCAGTACACAAACCACAACATAGAAAACATAATTAATAACCTAATTTTAAAAAAAAAACAAAATACGTCACTCGGAATCATCATCCTCGTCATCGACCTCATCATCTTCATCTGTCATACCCCGAAACCGTGATGGCGGAAACGTTCCGGGGTGGAGAACGTCATGCGTAGTATCACAACATTTGTATAGCAAGCATAGTAAACACAACCAAACACTGAATACAAATATGAAAAGTGTTTACATCGGTTTGAAACTTGTTTTAAATACTTCAAAAGTATGTAAAATATATAGAAAACATGAATCTTATTGCTCCGGCTCCTCTAATCCAAAAAGTACATGTCTACTGATTCCCTGAGAATACAAGCAGTTTTGAAAGAATATCAGCATAAAGCTGGTGAGTTCATAAGCATTTGGTTTTGGTGGAAAATGTTTCTTGAAATCCTTTTGAAAAGTGTTCCTCAAGAAAATCCTATATTTTCTTATGAAAAGCGTGTTTGAAAACTCATCCCTTCCATGACTTCCGGATTCATACAATGTATGAACAATTCAAGGTGTCGTGGAAGGAATATGAATATCCGTTGGTTACATGATGAACAATCCGTTTTGAATAGCCGGTTTATCCCGGGAAAATCCTATATTTTCCCTAAAGGTTGATGGTTGATTATCCGTTTTAAAACTGAGGTTTGCAAGTATCTACCATACGCGTGTCGATAAAAGCAGTGTTCTTTTTTAAAAACCCTGGTTACACCCAGAGAGGTATATTAGTCTTAAAAACTAAATAAAAGAAAACCGTGATGAACTAAGTCCTAAAGATATTATTATTAATACCCTCCAGTAATCTATCGGTTATTACTTTGAGGTTAGTTCACTTGATTCATTATTACAAAAGTAAATCTCTGCTATCTAGATTGTGAGTTTTATAACCATGCATTAACTTGATATGGCACGTATGGGGGCCAGTATCCTTTATGACTTTGTCACCCGTAGACCTGCCGGTCCCACTGTAGCTAGCAGCGAGGTGCGGGATAGTCAGTCCCGTATAGATCTATACACAACAGTCACGCTCTCCCTACAAGAGATTCTGGTCATAAGTGCTAGTCCTACACTCTGATTTCTTGGAAGTGTCACCAAGGACGTGTCTCCAACTTAGACTAACAAATTTACAAGTAATAATACTGAAAATCCTGTTTATGATTTGCATGAATCCTTTATAAAATAATACATTTTACTACATGATTCACAAGTTCATTGTTCTAGTTTTGAAAATTGTTTATACGAGTTGATTTCTTAATCGGTTGTTAAAACTGTTTTTCGTGTTAAAAACATGCTGAAAGTATAATTATCTTAAACAAAATAATATATTTTGAGTACAAGTTTCCTTGTACTTTTGCTTGTATTCCCCCCCTGAAAACATGAAAAAACTCTGAAAAGCATAGGGGTATGAACTCACAGTTTGACGTAGGATCTGGGTGTATGATCGGTTACGAATGCTGGGTGTCAACCGGTGTTTCGTACGCAAGTGGATCCTATTAACATGTGATAACACATATGTGTGTTAGAATTTTGGGTGTTTCATGACTAAACATGACGGGAAACCACCCTAAAGACTTGGAAATGTTTGTCAGGACCCTATATGATCAAATGAGGGAGGTATACGGCCAAAAGAGTGTGTGTGCGACCAGGGTGTGCGGTCAGCATGTGTGTGCGGTTGCACACAGGAGTGTGCGGCCGTACAGAGGGCGTGTGCAGTCGTACATGGGAGTGTGCGGCCGTACATAGGGGTGTGCGGCCGTACACTCTTCATTCATGCTCAAAATGTCGATTTTCGGGTGTTTCAAGGCCAATCCCAAGTCCAACTAGCAAATGAAGGCCAAACTCTTCACCTTGGAGAGTCTTTGAGGTGTGTACGGCCACCTTATGAAGGTGTGCGGCCGTACACCTTCAAGTGATGAAGAACACGAAGAACATGATGAGTTTTAAGCTTAGATCAAGGTGTCTTACCACTATAACAAGCTGAATGATGGATAAATTCACGTTCTTGAGGCCTTTAGAGTGTTCTTGGATGAAGTTTTTAAAGAGAGAAAGTAGAGAGAGAAATTAGAGTGCAGCCAAATGAAAGGAATGAGTGAAGGGGTCACCCTATATAAATAGGGATGAGTGTGCGGCTGGAGGATGGGTGTGCGGCCGTACACTCATGTGTGCGACCGTACACTCATGTGTGCGGTCGTACACACCTTCCAAGAGGGTGTATGGCCCGGTTTTCTCACTATGGGACGTGCTGACTCATTCCTAAACTCAACCTTGGTCAAATGCAAGCTTAGAACACTTCAACGGACCCTTAACGGTGATAAAAGGTGACGGAGTCGAGTTTATCCTTGATAGAAGTTTCGGGTTGTCACATTATCCCCCCGTTAGAGGGAATTTCGTCCCGAAATTCAAGAATAAAGATGTACTCGTGGACTTGGAAATGATGGGGATACCTCTGTTTCCTTGAATCCTCGCGCTCCCAAGTGAAATCAGGACCCCGCTTGGCATTCCAGCGGACCTCCACTATCGGGATGCGGCTCTGTTTCGTACGTTTGACTTCTCGGTCCATGATTTCGACAGGTTCTTCCACGAAGTGTAGACCCTCGCCTAATTCGATCTCGTCGAGAGGAATCACAAGTGTCTCATCGGACGGACACTTCTTTAGGTTCGACACGCGGAAGACATGATGGATGTTGCTGAGCTCTCGTGGCAACTAGAGTTTGTACGCTACGGGACTGATCCTAGCAAGGATCTTGGACGGTCCAACGTATCCTGATTTTAGCTTTCAACGCCTTGCGGAGCGTATCGGGCTTTTCCAGGGTGTGACCTGCAAAAGGACACGTCCACCAATCTAGAACTTCAAGGGTTTTTGTCTCTCATCGGCGTAGCCCTTTCGCACGATCTTTTCTGTCGTCTCTCGGATGATTTCCTTACTTTGTCCTTCTCTTTGTGGATGATACTCTTCGTATGAATACTTTCGGGTTTCGAAGAGACATGAATTTTTCGATGTTCGCATCTAGTTTGTCGTCACGAGCGACGGGAGTTTCGCGATCGAATGATTTAAGACAAAAGGGTTTGATATGACATAGACTCGGTCGGACTAGGCGAGATGTCGTCGTAGAATCGTGTGTTAAGTTAGGTTGGAAGGGTCGTTTTGCTAGCACATTGGTATCCCTAGATGAACGTCTCTGGTGTTTTCTGCGTTTGATATTGGACTTGGTGGGTACTACTACTAATGCGAGGGTCCGGAAGTTTTGAAACTATGAACTCTTGATGGATTGGTTCTTACTAGATCCCTCTATGATCGTTTGGTGTACACAAACCATGTATAAACACAACTGACTCCAATGTATACACTAGGCTGCCGTAATTTACCCATTAGGGCGTCAACTTTTAAATGTAAGTTGTGATTTAATTTGGACGGGAAAGAAATCACGATTATGAATAATTATTGAGGTTTTTGAGAACGTACCCAAAACATTGTAGGGTTCTTTGATGTTTCCCATCTTCTGAGGTCAGACTCCTCCGGTCTCCTCATCGTTCTTCTCTGTTGGGCAGTCCCTTTTGAAATATCCCATTTCACCACATGCACAACACACTTGAATTGTGTTAGCATCGGTAATAGGAGAAATGTGTTGAGTCGGGGTCTTCGCGAAGTGAGCTTCCTTGCCATTCTTAGCCCTTGGACAATTTCTTTTGAAATGTCCTACACTACCACAGAGGTAACAGGTTGGGCTAGCCCCAACATTGGCATTCAGAGTGACGA